CTGATGATGCTGCCCTCACAGCCCACAATGAAGATCTACTACAAGAACTCATGGACCACCTTTCAAGTGCTTTTCAGGCATTTGCTCTCACCATCAGCATTAAGATTAGGACAGGGAGTTCCCCAAGATCCTTCAATTACCTTAAATACAAACCAGCTAGAAGTAGTCCAGAAGTTCAGCTGTTTAGGTTCTACAGTGAGCATCGATTTGGGGCTTGCTCCTAGGTTTTTCTCTGTGTAGTTTCTTGGCTGTAATCTTCACTTTGCTCATTATCAGTGTCACAATTAGTGCTATGGAACATGCGAGTGGTCTGCACTAAGGATAGGTCTTTCCTCCTGACGACGACAAGGTCTAATTGGTGCCAGTGCCTGATTGCGGATGTCGCCAGGACGCTCTGTGGCGATCTTTTCCTGTAAAATATGAATTGGAAATGCACATTTGGGTTTAGGCGCGGCATTCAAGAAGTCGTTGGCTTTCTCGTTCATCTTGCCAATGCCGAAATGTCCTAGGCAATCTGGCCGTGCGTTGTTGTCTGCGTCGACTCTTGCATTAAAGTCACCGAGGAGGAAAAGTTGCTCAGTTGATGGTATTCTTTTGATGACTCGATGCAAAGAGTCTTAAAACGTATCTGTGACGAACTGGGCCTGTTCTTACTGTGGTGTGTGAATGCTGACAGGGGAGTGTGGCTAGGATAGTCTGCATCGGGGGATGGGAGACTGCCCGAAGGCGAATACCTGAGCGTGTAACATGAGAACCCAGGAAGGGGTTGGAGGCCAGGTGACACCTTGGCCCGGGAAACTGAACAAAGGCTGTGGGAGGGGTCGCTGAAGGCAGAGTGCTGGAAGAGGGCTGGAGAGATGGCTGGGAGGCAAAGATTGCTCTGACCCCCCAAAGGGGGGTGGGCTGGGATGCCCTGGGACCCCAAGCTGGACCTAACTGAGGGGGGCCCTGTTGTCTGTGCCTGCAAGACCTGTCTTGGACTGTATTCCTGTCATCCAAATAAACCTTCTGCTTTACTGGCTGGCTGAGAGTCATGGTGAATCGCAGGAGGCCGGGGGTGCAGGGCCCTGAGTCCCCCAATACTCCGTGACAGTATCCTTCTCCTCAGGGCTAGATTTGAGTGCTGGTGCATAGGCCCTAGTGATGTTCACAGAGCCGATGGTCGTCTGAAGTTTAAGTGAGATGATACGCTCTGACTTCTCGATGGGTGTCTCTCGGAGCTTTCCCCACTTGTTTCTCACAGCGAAACCGACACTGTGCAGACGATTTTCTTTGCTGCTTTTACCTTGCCAAATGAAGGTGTTTAATGGGTCTCTTGACAGAACCAGCATCTGCAAGTCTTGTTTCCTGAAGTGCTGCAATGTCAGCGTTTAGGGGGGAGGGATAGCTCAGTGATTTGAGCATTGGCCTGCTAAACCCAGGGTTGTGAGTTCAATCCTTGAGGGGGCCACTTGGGCATCTGGGGAAAAATCAGTACTTGGTCCTGCTAGCGAAGGCAGGGGCTGGACTCGATGACCTTTCAAGGTCCCTTCCAGTTCTAGGAGATAGTGGTTTATTTTTTATTATTTTTTTTATTTTTTAAATAGAGATATCCTGTCTCCAAGGCAAGAAGCTTACACAGCTTCAATCTTCCTGGGTCTGACCTTGGAGCATTCAGCCTCCCCTTTTCGCAGCCTGCGCTTCCTGCAGCGAGTCCGCCCGGGTGGGGTCCTGGGGGAGCCAGGGGGTCCTGCACCCCCACTCCGCAGTCAGACGTGACTCTCAGCCAGCCGGGAAAACAGAAGGTTTATTATTGGACAGGAACACAGCACAGGACAGAACTTGTTAGCACAGAAATCAGTGACTTTCAGCCAAGTCCATCTTGTGAGTCCTGGGCCAGATGCCCTGGATTCCCCCCTCGAGTCCCCCCACGCAGACTTCCAGCCGCTTGACCTCGGACACCCCCCTGTTGCTCCTCCTCCTGCTCTTTGTCTCGCTTCCCGGGCAAAAGGTGTCACCTGGTCGCATCCCCCCTCCTGGGTCTCAGGTGCAAACAGCTGGGCAGCCTCACCTGCCCTGAGGGCCTCAGCAAAATCACACCCCCAATTCCCACCACCGAAGTACTGGTGCAGCACACAGGGAAACTGAGGCACAGCCAGTATTCGTATAGGACAGTAAGACTCTCATGCAACATAACAAGATGAATAAAACCCCACTTTGTCACACACCCTCCTGACTTGACGGGTTTGGACCAAAGGAAGGATGGGAGTCGATACATTTGGAACCAGCTATGCTGGAGGAGTTGTCAGAGCAGAGGAGATCTTCCATCTGCCTGCCTTTCGGGGCTCCGCTCCTAGATTGGTTATCAGCCACAGTTGAAGGGCCCAACCTGTCCTGTGTGGATGTCCCTGGCAAAAACACTGCGTGAATTTGCTCATACGCCTCTTGATGGCATTTCCTCCATCAAGGTTCCACTACCTGCCTCAGGTGCTCATCAGCCCAAAGCCGTTGGCGCTTCCTGAGGTTTCTGGGTCAATTAACCGCCACCCAGCACTCGGCGTTGACCAGTACAGGTTGTACCGCTTATGGTCCTAGCAGTAGCAGGTTTTCAGTTCTGACCCGACTCTCTCAGTGCTCCAGGATGTATTAAAAATCAACATGAATGGTCTAGCAAGCTCCTCGGCCAGCTCGTTGAAAACTCTTAGATGCAAGTTATCTGGACCTGCTGATTTCACAATGTCCAACAGCAGCTGCTGGTTAACATCCTTCAGAGATAGTAGTGAAATGGAGAGAGTTTATTACCACGTTATAAGACTGCATTATCTGTTGTTTTCCCAAATACAGAACAAAAACAGATTGAACACTACTTTTCTGCATTATTATTGATAATTTTACCATTTCTATCTAATAATGGACCAATACTGTTGTCAGGATGCTTTTTGTTCCTAATATATTTTCAAAAACTCCTTATTATCCTTAACTCTTCTGGCCATAAAGTTCTCCTTGTGTCCCTTGGCTTCCCTTATCAATTTTCTACAATTCCTAACTTCTGATTTATAATCATCTTCCATTTGTTATATATTTTATAGTTGCCTACACCTCCCCTCAAACCCAGATTTGGGTATGTAACCAGCTCAGCTTTCTTCCTAGATTGTGACTTTTGGGGCCTCTCGTAAGGTGTTCGGAAATGATTCCCGATTATCATTCACATTCTTCTCAATTCTTCCTCCCAGCTCATTAGCTCATAATTGTTTTCAGCTTTGTGAAACTGGCTCTATTAGAGCTCCATGAACTTTATTCTGTTGCACATTATAAATGGGATCAAGTCATCACCACTTGTAGCTAAGCTACCATTAACTTAGTTCTGTGATCAGTTCTTCATTGTCTGTTAGGACAAGGTCTAATATAGAACCTCTCCCCCCACTCCCGTGTGGGTGCTGCACTTTGGAGTTAGGAGATTCTCGTCTATAATGCTTAGGAACCCCAAAGGGGTGTTAGTGCTGGCAGCGGGATGCTCCAGCGCCCATCACTCCTATTCAAGTCCCCCATGGCATGCAGTGCTTTCCCTACACGCTGCAGCCAGGCGCATGCAGAGCTCGATGTGGAGTCTGGAACAGACACGTACCAACACCCCACCTTGGGCTTCTTTGCTTAGGACACTGATCTATAAGCATTCAACGGGATCATGTGTCTTCCGAGTTAGCAGTGACTCGCAAACAGGCGATGCCATTTTTGATAGAGAGAACCCCTCCCCTTCCTCTTTTGCACACTCACCCCTTCCTAAGTGGGTTATAACCAGTGACACTAACACTGTAATTGTGCGAATCATCCTACCAGCTTACAGCAATCACAACTAGATCCAACACATGCTCCTAAATTCCACTTCCTCCTCTTTATCACCCAGCCCCCCTGCGCCGGTGTCTGGCTGGTACGTTCCCTCCCGGGGCTCTGGGCGCCGCCCCCTGCGCCGGTGTCTGGCTGGTACGTTCCCTCCCGGGCCCCGGGCGCTGCCCCCTGGCGCCGGTGTCGGGCTGGTACGTTCCCTCCCGGGGCCCCGGGCGCCGCCCCCTGGCGCCGGTGTCTGGCTGGTACGTTCCCTCCCGGGGCTCTGGGTGCCGGTGTCTGGCTGGTACGTTCCCTCCCGGGGCCCCGGGCGCCGCCCCCTGGCGCCGGTGTCTGGCTGGTACGTTCCCTCCCGGGGCCCCGGGTGCCACCCCCTGCGCCAGTGTCTGGCTGGTACATTCCCTCCCGGGGCTCTGGGCGCCGCCCCCTGCGCCGGTGTCTGGCTGGTACATTCCCTCCCGGGGCCCCGGGTGCCACCCCCTGCGCCGGTGTCTGGCTGGTACATTCCCTCCCGGGGCTCTGGGCGCCGCCCCCTGCGCCGGTGTCTGGCTGGTACATTCCCTCCCGGGGCTCTGGGGGCAGCTCCTTTAGCTCCGTGCCCCAGGCCCAGAGTGGGGGCTGCAACGCCACGTGCCGGGGGCAGGATGGGCAATAAACCTGAGCCTGGGCTAATGCCCCGAATGGTTGGAAGTCCCCCCCCCCCCCCCTCCCGGGCGCCGCGCTGGGTCTTCCCCCCGGAGGAGTGGGGCAGAGAAGCTGGCTGGGGGGAGCTGTAATTTGGGGTGTTTCGGGGCGTGACCGTCCGCACACCCCTGCAGTGGTGTTCACTTTCTCCCTCTGCCCCGTCTCTCCCCCCCCAACCACCCGCTGCCCTGCACCCGCTCACCTGTCTGTCCGCCTGTCCCACCCCATTCCCAGGGCTCGTGGCTGGCTCGTCTCTGGGAGCAGCTCGCTGGTCGGCCTACACTCGTCTGTCTGTCTCCCCTTCCTCCCCGCCTGACTGTCTGTCTCTTTCCCCCTGTCTGTCCGTCTCTTCCTCGTCTGTCTGGTCCATCCCGACGTCTCCCCCACCATAGGCTCCGCTTGTCTGGTGCCGGCTCCCTGGCAGCCCGCCCCGGCCCACGCCTCCCCGCCGCACTAGGAGTCCTGACCCTCCCGTTTTGCCCGCTCTGCCCCAGGTGTCTCCAGAACTATATCCCGCCCCAGAGCCTCACCCTGTCCTGCCCCGTGTGCCGCCAGACCTCCATCCTGCCCGAGCAGGGCGTGGCCGCACTACAGAGCAACTTCTTCATCACCAACCTCATGGAGGTGCTGCAGCGCTCCCCCGAGGGCAGCAGCCGCCCGGACGCCGCCGCACTGGACCCCGTCAGCGCCGTCACCGGCCAGCCGCTCTCCTGCCCCAACCACGAGGGCAAGGTGAGTGCCCCTGGCCAGGGGGAGGGCCTGGATAGGTGCCCTGTGGGGGAGAGGACTAGGGTGCCCCTGTTTTCTGGGGAGGTGGGTGCCCCTGGCGTGGGGGGAGAGGACCAGGGTGCCCCTGTTTTCTGGGGAGGGGGGTGCCCCTGGCTGGGGGGAGAGGACCAGGGTGCCCCTGTTTTCTGGGGAGGTGGGTGCCCCTGGCCGGGGGGAGGGGCAGGGTGCCCCTGTTTCCTGGGGAGATGGGGTGCCCCTGGGAGAAAGGGCCCGGCCAGGGTGAACCCACTTTTCAGGGAGCTGGGTGCCAGCCTGGCTTGGGGAAGGGAGCCCAGGCAGGAGCCCTTGGGGTGGAGAGACCAGGGTGACCCCGCTTCTCCGGGAGCTGAGTGAGAGAGTGAGGGGGCTTT